ATTTCTTAGCACCTCCCCCACAGAGTGTTTAATTTGCCTCAAGCTGCTGAACTGCACATCGGTGAGACGGTTTGCGTGGTGTAGTTATCAATATTTCTAGCTTATTTAATATCCACGGCAATGTTTTTCTATTTTCTATTGTAAAACCAACTCCATCAAGGCTGCCTTCATTCAATGATTTTTAACATTGATTGTTTTCCCAGTTTCAGCAGCACAATTTGAAAGAAGAGTGAGCCAGACAATGACGTGCACCAGCTCTCCCCGGAGCGTGACAAAGGCTGCCCGTGAGCACGAAATCCAGTTAAATAGCATAGATGAAATGTTTTTTGTATTTTTCTGCTGTAAGTTGGGCACCAGAGGCCAAAAATCTGGCTTTGTTTTTTTTTTTTTGAAGATGTGTTGTTTTCGGTAATGAAGGTCAGGTAAAGCAGCCGATCTCCTAAAGTCTGCAGCAGGCAGGATTAACCTCAGGAAGAATATGCTTGAGGAGCCAAGCAAAACATCTTCCAAAATCATATCTATATCTTTAACTCAGGATAAAAACAGAGCCAAAGGCTCTCTTCCAATCAGAAGCACAATCTCTGTGTCATAACTGAATTACCAAAGTGCAAAAACAAGCTTAATCTTTCATCACAGGTCAAGTGACATGGCTGGGCTATTGCCTGCTCTCACAAGGGGAAGGATAGGCCTGAGTGATGTCTAACACAAGGACAAAGATAATAGGAAAATACACACAACTCCAACTAAAGAAATTCCTTTCATCTAATCAAATATACTAGATGAAAAATAATAAACTGAAGGGGTGGCTCAGTGGTTAGCACTGTCACCTCACAGCAAGAAGGTTGTGGGTCGAGTCCTGGCTGGGCCAGTTGGGGTTTCTGTGTGGTATTTCATGTTCTCCCCATGTTGGCATGGGTTTCCTCTGGGTGCTCTGGTTTCCTCCACAGTCCAGAGACATGCGGTATAGGTAAATTGAATAAACTAAAACTAGTGTATGAGTGTGAGTATGAATTTGAAAGTGCATGTTTCAAAGTGCTGGGCTGTGACTGGAAGGGCATCCGCTTCCTAAAACAAATGCTGCAATAGTTGGTGGTTCAGTCTGCTGTGGCAACCTCTGATAAACCAGAGACTAAGCCGAAGGAAATTGAATAGTGAATAATAATGTTACTCAAAGTGTTTACTTTAGCACTGCACTGAGGTTCACCTTTAGAGTATCTGCACTTATGATGATTTCTATTTTTCTGTAAACTTTTAGAAAAGCAAATGTACTTTTCCCTCCACTATCTTCTATTGAGGTCCTTGTTAGTCATTACTATGTGGCTTTGAAAGGATGCTTTTTTCTTCTCTAAAACATGTTTTTTTCTTATATTTTTTGGTAGACGACAGGCAGTCTATCAATTCTCATTCTTGTAGGGTCACATGGAGTTCTGTGATGTTTCAGCAGATGGCAAAAGGTAAGAAGACGTCTCAGCTTCTCAGGCCAGTGCACACATGCATGTCCATACTTAGAAAGTATGTTTTAGTTTTTCTGAAAAAATTTATTAAATTATTTTAACGATCTAGGTGCAGAGTCTAAAGCGCATGGCGCAAAAGCATCAAGGGTGTGTCTGAATCCACTTTTGCTATTTTAAGGATGGAAGAATACACTCTGCACCCTGGCACAATAATTTTAATATTTAATCCTTCTATCTTTTCATATGTAAAGATATTTGTTTATTGCTGTATATTCTGTGTGTATTAAGCAATGTGTAAGCATTTGAAACCACATAGGTGCATAACTATCGTGCTCGGGGCTCGACTTTAGACCCAATTTTAGATGGCCAATGGCTCTGTCTACTTTAGTTCCTTAAAATAGCATCACGCCAACAATGCGCCTTTACACGCCTCTAATTTATACCAGCAATCCCATGAGTCCACAAAGTAGCGCAAATAGATTTGCTATTTGAACAATGTGGTGCAAAACGTGTAAACTAGGGTTGCGCTAATCTGAAAATAGCACGAATCATGCCAACCACAATGCATGCCTTATTGTGCCAGGTGTATAATAAGGCCCTTAATGTTTGCTTGAAACAAACCATATCACAGCCTTTAAAAGCTCACCATCTAACCTGTCCTGATATGTGCCAACTTTTACATTCAGGTGAATGCTTGGAATTAAATTGTGTGTCAAAATGTCACCAAATTTTTTTTTTCTAAAGGTGCTATTTTCACCAGATGTTGATAACAACCAAGAATATGAAAAAAGAAAACAAATCTAATTAGTAAACAAATTAAGTTATACACGTTTTAAAATGAAAAGACACATAAAAACAGTGTTGAATACACGAAGAAAGGGAGGTGTAGAAAGGCAGTAAAAGCTCAGACAGCAGCTGAAATCTGTCACTAGTTATTCAGCAATGCCTTTGCCCTTCGTCAGTGTAAATTAATATTAGCTGCTTCAGTCCAACATCCACATTATCAGAATAATGAAGATGAAACCAGAGCGGAAAAAAACTGCAAGACAATGATCCAAAAACATAGCCAAAGAAATTCTCAAATGCTTTCAGAAAAAGAAAATCAAGCTGTAGAATGGCCCAGCCGATCGCCTGACTTGAATCCAATGGAAAATACAAATTAAAGATCAGTTTGGATAGACAAAACCCACAAAACCATCAAGACTCTATTGAAGTCTGAGCTATGCATGTGACTTGATTCTCCACATGATAGTCGTCTTTAAGCTTTATCATAGCCTTGTGAATGTGCTACAAAACCAGAGGTATGGTTAAAAAATGATACGAGTTAGCTTGCAAAAATGTAGTGGGCTCATAATAACATTAACCTGTGTATTTTCAGAAATATGTTTTAGTGAATCTTGCCAAACCTTTCTTTTCTAGCATGATTACAACACTTATATAAGTGTTATTCAACATTATATAACTGTTAAACAAGCAGTCAAATGCATTCAAGTTAGTTTAATGTTAGCATGTCAGACGGAGCATCACTGACTGGCTTATATCACCATGAAGGCACAGCGTACATTACAGGACGCATTACAGGAGAGAGGATTACAGGAGGTTGAGTAGTGCCAAGTTTTGGAAAACAGTCTGCATTGCTTTCCTTGGGATCCCAACAGCACGTCTACATGAGCATTGTTGCGTTGTCACAAAGCCATTTTGCTTCATGTTAGACGAAGCGCGAGCATGTCAGAAATAAAACATGGCATTAGTTTACTGTCAGAGTTTGCAACAGCATAGACAGTATCACTGATTATAATGGGTTCTATAAGCTGCATCATGTTGTTCAACTCTGGATTAAATGAAGGATTAAATATTAGGAATGAGTGTTTCAGATCCCTTTAGTAAGACGTTGTTCTCATCAAAATGCTGATTAGTTTTTAAAGACAGTTTGACACACGCTTAATTTTCAGAGCATATAAATGTCATTAAATTTATAACATTTAATTTTCTCATATAAAAACTAAAACTAAACTAAAAACTAGTACTAAAAACAAAAAAAAAAAAAAAACTAAAACTAAACTAAAACTAGTAATTCTATATTTATTTCCTACAACAGTACTGTCTGGTTCTTGAATCTGATTGGCTGTTTGCCATTCGATATTCTGCAAATATATATGTATACTCTACAGCAGGGGTGCTCAATCCTGTTCCTGGAGATCTACCTTCCTGTAGATTTCAGTTGCTACCAATATCAAACACACCTGTCTGTAATTATCAAGTGGTGTTCAGGTCCTAATTAATTGGTTCAGGTGTTCAGATCTCCAGGAACAGGACTAAGCACCCCTGCTATACAGTTTGACAAATACTGCAGGTGTTGGACAACATGATATAATTTTGAGACTTTTTTTAGCTGAGAATGTAGTTGTTTAGATTCAACTATGCAGTTTATTTATAAGTATAGAGACTATTTTAAAATATTTATAATTTTGGAGCATCGGATTTAGTTCATCTGTCGTCATCAGCCTGTCTGAGCAGATCAAAGAAAATGACTGTTGACGTTCCGCCACAAGATAGCAACAGAGACCGCATAATAAGTCTTTGGAGAGAGAAAAACTCAGCGTTTTCTCGACATAAGTTTCAAACTACAGCTGAACAAATCATTATAAATCAGGTAAGTGACATTCTAAGTCAATTCTTCTCTTTTAGATTTTGTAGTGCTGTATTTATACCACAGAAACTGATAGTGTTTGGACTGTCCTAGCTTTTTAGAGGTTAATTATTGTTAAATCTCAATTGCAACAAAGAAATTCTGGAAAATCTTTGTAGACTGATGGCATTTCATGCCGTTCAGCCATACAATCCTAAAATGTAAGCAAAAATCAACTGTTTTGTCATCACTTTAGACATTATGCTAGAGAATCATTCAAATATCAGCTCTAAGTGACATTGGTGAATTAATAACAATAGTTTCTGCTGTTCTGATGTCAGCTGCAATTGTAAACTTGTATAGTGGAAAAAAAGTAGTTCCTCATACAAAACGGTTTGAGAATCTCAGTGTTTGATTTTTTTACACACACGATTATGCCGTCAAACTGTTGTATAAACGCAATATTACACTCGAAGCATTGTGATAAGGCTGTATCTGTGGCCTCGAGCCAATGCACTTGTCCCACAAACGCCTATATTCAGCCATATAGCACTGCTCGTCATGTGATATTGCTCATTTAAAACATTGGCACAAGGTCCTATAAAACATGCCATACCTTATCGTACCGTATCGTATTGTATTGTATCATATCCTATCATGATAAAATCTAATATAAAATATCATACCACTTACAAACAAATTACAATGCTAACATTTTAATCTAACAAGAATGACTAAAACACTAAAATCTCACTCACATTGCACTTCGAGGTACTTCTGTGCCTGAAAGTCCTTGACTGCTGGATGGTCAACAATGCAGACCACTGGAACACCGTCGTCTTCTCTCGTGACTGTTAACCTCAGCCAGCTCGTCACAGTGAACATCTTGTCATATGTGAGCTCCACCTTAGACTTGCCTGTGAGGGACAGAAACCAACACAGAATTGCAAATTAAAATGAATTCGTTTTCATTATCATCCCTGTCAAGAAACAACGGGTGGCTAAATGTATCGAAGGCCATGGTATATGTTCCGTCCTGTGAGCATACTCCCCAATGTCTACCGCATGTGTGACATATGGCAGCTCGCTGGCGTTTATCATTGACATGTGTGCAGTAAACGGCCCCCCGCTGCGACACCTGAAATGTAACCATCTGGGAGGGGCTGTGCGACTCAAAAACACCCCTCAAATACAGAGCTGTGTATTGATTTAGGAGTCCACATTTGATCAGATTTTCTATAAATAAGCTCATTCAGTGAATGTACATTTGATACAAATGCTACTGATATATTTGGAAATTACCAGGGAACACTTTTTGGTGTAAGGATAGAATAAAACAGAGTCCAGAGATGCATGGAATAAGTAAGTCTGAAAATCTAGCCGTAGTTTTTCAAAGTCAAAGACAGAGTATGTGATGTATACTGTATATATATATATATATATATATATATATATATATATATATATATATATATATATATATATATATATATATATATATATATATATATATATATACAGTTGAAGTCAGAATTATTAGCTTCCTTGGAATTTTTTTCTTCTTTTTAAAATATTTTCCAAATTATGTTTAAAAGAGCCAGGAAATTTTCACAGTATGCCAGATAATATTTATTATTATTATTATTATTATTATTATTATTTATTTTGCTATTAAGGTTTGCTATTTGTTTTTATTGGCATGAACAATATGCTGTTGCTTTAAGACCTTATACATAGATAATGTCTCTAAAATACTTTCACTTTACACATGACTGACTGTTTGCATGAATACTCAGCAAGATGGCCAATACTATTCCGAAATGTAAGTGTTTATTTGTCCATTCTAGGTGCAATAACCCAACCAAGGGAAGCAAATTCAACATTTGCATGCTGATGTGTTTCTTTCTGTGTGATGCTTCAGGTGTGTGGATCACAAAAAAGCATCTGTCAGTCTCTTTCATGACTCATCAAACACGTCCTGCTCTTTCTTCTCATTCATCCATATTTCTTTTCTGCTATAACATATATGTTTACAGATAAACTATTTAGAAAATTTGTCAATTAACAGCATTTTGTTGTGCCAGAACTCACATACCTATCTATACTTTGAAATAGTACTGCATGATATTGGAAAAAAATTTTTTACTTGCTATATACATATTTTTCTGTTACGATATTAAGAATAAAAAGACGAATTGAACAGCTCTATCTAGAAAGAATTTATGATTTCAGATTGATTGGGGTGGTTTTGTAAAGCAGTGCATCTACATAACAAAACAACAACAAAAAAACAATTACAAGCATTCATACATACAGTATACAAGCATACATAAATACAGTAGAATAAAAATAATAATAATATATGGTTTTCTGGCAGTCTAGCAGTATTCAGGTACACAAATGAACAAATTAAATGTAAAATACCACTGTATATATACAATATATACACACTTTATTAGGTACACCATATTAGTATCTGGGTTGGACCGCCTTTTGTCCTCAGAACTGCAATAATCCTTCGTGGCATAGATTCCACAAGATACTGTAAATATTCCTCAGAGACTTAGGTCCATATTGACATCATCATGCACTTGGTGCATATTTGTCAGCTGCACATTCATAATGCGAATCTCCAGTTCCACCACATCCCAAAGATGCTCTATTGGACTGAGCCTGGTGACTGTGGAGGCCATATGAGTACAGTGAACTCATTGTCGTGTTCAAGAAACCAGTCTGAGATGATTCACACTTTATGACAAGAAGTAGCCAGCAGAAGATGGGTACACTGTGGTCATAAAAATATGGACATGATCATCAACAATTCTCAGGTAGGCTGTGGCGTTGACACGATGCTCAATTGGTACTAGTGGGCCCAAAGTGTGCCAAGAAAATATCCGCCACACCATTACACCACCACAACCAGCATAAAATGTTGATAAAAGGCAGAATGGATCTATAATTTCATGTTGTTGATGCCAAATCTCACCCTACCAGCATAAATCTAGGCACATCAGACCAACAATATTCCAATCTTTTATTGTCCAATTTTGGTGAGCCTGTGTGAACTGTAGCCTCAGTTTCCTGTTCTTAGCTGACAGGAGTGGTATCCGGTGGAATCTTCTGCTGCTGTAGCCCATTTGCCTCAAGGTTGGACGTGTTTTGCGTTCAGAGATGCTCTTCTTGGTCTTGCAGACCTTGGTTATAACAAGTGCTTTTTTGAGTTACTGTTGCCTTTTAGCTTAAACCAGTCTGGCCATCAACAATGCATTTGAGCCCACATAACTGCCGCTCACAGGATATTTTTCCTTAACGGACTGTTCTCAGTAAACCCTAGATTAAAATTTTTTGCGTTAACGTGTAGTTAGACAGGTGTACCTAATAAAGTGGCCGGTGACTGTAAATACAATGAATCTTTTTTTAAGTCACAAAGATTATAATTTCTTTTACCTGAATGCTTTAAACTGGCTTGAAATGTTTACACCCTCACAGGGCTTAAAAACATGCAAAAAATAACCTGTCTGGTAACACTTCACAATGACTCCACAAATCCCATTAACGACTGTGGCTCAGCAATGGTGACTCAGATGCAGCAATGTGACTATTGTAAATGCACACACATTATGAAGCCATACTTAGAAAATCTCTGGATTACCGAATTTAGACTAAACATTTAATTATGACTTTTGATTACTGATATCGAATTGACCACTTTTACACTTAAAAAAAAAAACGGATTCATTAAATAAATTATGTTTTTGCCTATCCCTACTAAACCGCTTCCTGTGGCGGCTTGTTATGCAGCTGTCACTCATTGGCAACTGTGTGGGCTGCGAGGGTGTGTTTGTGCTTTATGAAGTGAGATATAATGGCTGTAGTGGACGCCTCTGACCCGCAGCACTCCTTCAGCAGCATCAAGTGGGCATGAAGAACACAAAAGACTCGAAGTCATTGTGCGGCTCCAGACAATAGCCTCGCAGCACCGCACAGACCTCCATCACTCAATTACTGCTCTGGCCTTGTAGAGAGAAGCAGGCGTGGGTGGAAAGAGAGAGAACGGAGGAATGAAGGGTTGAGTGAGAAATCTGCAGAAGAAGGAGAGAGAGGGACCTATTGTCCTGTTTGTGTTTTTGTAAAGAAAAAATAAATCCACTTGACCATTAAAAATGAATTTCGTGCGAGTAATTAAAAGAGAAGAAATATATAACGGTGAGTGAGATGGAGGGTAAAAACAAACGTAGCTGAAGTGTGTCCTTTATGCGCCAACAACAAATATAATGGTTACTTTCGAACAGATTTCCTCAAGGAAATTCTCTTTACATTTCAAAGATAAACTTGTATTTGTATATACAGCTGAATTTCATTATATGGATTTAAATAATTCTCCACTGTCTAGGAAGGTTTGGAATAACAAAGTAGACAATTCATTTTTTAGACAGTCTATCCATTTAGGATTGGAAAATGCACAGTGTTGTTTAAAAGTATGGAGTTGGTCTGATTTATCTTGTGGTTTTAAAGTATCTTCAAGGCTGGCTGTATTTGATCAAAATACAATAAATGATTGCTAAAAAATATACAAATAATAAGAAATCTGTGTTTTATTTGAATATTTTTAACATGCAATTGGTTTGTGAAAAGGTAAAGTAAAATTTTCAGCAGCCATTACTGGGTGCATCCTTTAGAAATAATTCTAAAATTCAGAACCTGTATGATTACTATTATGCTTGTTCAAACTAATTATTTGAAATGAGCAGAAACAACACAATTCTTGAGATTTGTCTGGGATCACTTAATTGTTTTAAGTTCAATACACTTACATTTGTTACGTTAACTAAATCTATCATTTTGAGTTGGTACAACATGAATGAATTGTGTGGAAGCCTGCATTTTTTGCACAAAGACTAATATTCTTGCTTGCAACATATTTTTTTAAAGTGGAAGTGAAGCAGTCAGACAAATTTACATTGTTTTGTAAATTGATTTCTACTTTAATGAAAGTATATTAAATAAACAAACTCGCTTAATGAACACTGAAAAAATGCTAAAACTGTTGCAAACAATTTATTTGTGATGAATTTAAACAAATTATTCATTCATTTTCTTTTTGGCTTAGTCATTTTACTAATCTGGGGTCGCCACAGCGGAATGATCCGCTAACTTATCCAGCATATGTTTTTTACACAGCAGATGCCCTTCCAGCTGCAACCCATCTCTGGGAAACATCTATACACACTCATTCACACTCATACACTATGGGAAATTTAGCCTACCCAATTCACCTGTACCACATATCTTTGGACTTATGAGGGAAACCGGAGCCCCCGGAGAAAACCCACACGAACACAGGGAGAACATGCAAACTCCACACAGAAACGCCAACTGACACAGCCGAGGCTTGAATCAGCGACCTTGTTGCTGTGAGGCGACAGCACGACCTACTGTGCCACTGCATCACCCTACATTAAACAAAACTTTAAACAAATTTTTAAACTAACTTTAACAATATTCAACTTAATTTGTTTGTTAAAATTCAGTTTGTAAATAATTTGTTTACAACCATTTCATGTAAAAAATTGTAAATCCAAGGAATCATCTTTAAACAATTTTTACATTGTAACCATTTTGAAGAAAACGGCATGTTTTACTATATTTTTTACACTGAAAAAAATTACTTCTGCAAAACTGTTGCAAACAGTTTATATAGTTTATTTGTTGAATTTAAACAGATTAAATGTACTAAATTTCATCTTAATCTGTTTGTTTAAATTTAACACAAATACATTGCTTATAACCATTTAACTTTAAAAAAAATGTAGTAAATCCAAGGATTCATCTGTGAATTTTTTTTAGTGTTGAGCTAGGGCGCCGCCATCTTGGAACATCACTGTGTCTGCCATCACGGGGTTGATTCTGTTCCCTC